TATATATATTAATATATATATATATATATATATGATACAAGATATTTTCGAAGGCTCATTTACTGGCCGCGCCCTAGGTGTATGGCACTGTGTGCCTATCGGTAGCCATTCAGTACCAAATGACCTCATTGGCGGTCTTTTCCCGGTGTAACCTATCATTGACATACCCATTAAGTAGCAAAGGGTCTAATAATGGGTCTTTAGGGGAGTCTGTGATGTCCTGAATGAGCAGCGGTCCTAGTTCTTCAATTGAGGGCAATGAGAGCATCTGCGCCACTGCTGCCGGGTCGAGTTTGGTCACTGTGTTCGGTCGGTTGATGGTGAAATTAGAACCAATTTCTATTCGGAATAAGTCTGTGCGCCTAATACACAATTTAGGGTAGTTGTACGGCTCAGGCACACCTCGGGATAGAGAACGAATCCATCCCCCTGCAATCGCATCAAAAGACGTACTATATGGTGCTGATTTCTATGTAAACGCGCATATACAAAATGATAGAAGCTTTTGCAAAATCGCCATACAATCGTACAAATTAACACACCAACAAATCCGCCCAAACAGTGCAGGTGAGTGTACGCGTAATACAAAAATCATACAACATTCACGTGTGAATGCTTCCGCACGAAGATGTTATGAAAGCGTAGGCGTAGGTAGTTGATAGGTAAGCGTAGGTGTAAGCAACCCGTCATAAGTACACAAGTGCTTGCAGTACCTGTCTTAGAATTATCTTCTCTTTCGAGAGCATTGCCGTGGGTTGTGGCCAGTGCTTCGTTGAAGGTGGTCGCGTGGTTCGACTCCTTTGAATTGAATGAACCAAAAACCGCAGCATTATCAAATGTATCATTCCGTATTTAACTCAGAACCAACGAAAGCGTGGTACATCAGTTGGCTTGGAATCAAATGCACCAAAAACCGCAGCATTATCAAATGTATCATTCAGCATATAACTCAGAACCAATGAAAGCATGGAAATTCAGTTGGCCTGGTATGCATGAGGTTAAGATCGATTTTTCCCATGTGGGGGAAGTAGTAGGTAAGCATGAGCGTCGATTGATAATTTAGTAATGTTGGCCTCCTGAGGAATCAGATGTATCGGGGTTTTAGGAACAATTATATATGAAAGGAAACCTGTCATGCGAAAACTGCTCTGGAGAATGCGAGAACGAATATCAGCGACCAATCAAAGGACACATAAGGTAATCCAAATTGAAGCGTGTGCAGATGAGAACTGCTCTTGGTGATTGGAGCGGGTTTATATGGATGTTGAATTGAGAAGCCGCTCGATGAGTTTCTTACATCAGTTACTGAGCTGTGCTTTTGTGCATTGATCAGAATCTGGTTGTCCGCCACATATGCAGAGCCCATTTGTCACCGCTGACTTAACACCAACCCTATGTATCGCATGTGTGCCTTATCTGACGAATGTGACTGTGCATTGTAAAGCCAACCAACGAAATGTACTTATTGTCGGACATAAGTAGGCTTGTCATTTCGTTGCCACTGGCTACCCCTGCACATGGATTACACATACGCATTTTACATTTCACCTGTCAGGTACACCGACAAAATGCGTACATACTTCGCCGAAAATTAGCAGAGGCTCATAGAACATGACCACTTGAAGAAGTCTCGTCAAATTGTTTATCAGTGCTGCGTATTGTGTAGACACTGCACTCGTGCATGGGGAACACAGCAAACACACACCTATCAGGTACACAGTAGCCTCGATATGAGCAACACACAAATGTCCATGCACGCTCGTAATCTAAATAGGATAGGTGTAAAACAGAACCCAGACCAACGTACCTGATAGTATGATGCACTAATCGCCAGCCGGGCAAGTTTCTGAGTGCTCTCGTACCGGTTAAACGGATTGGAGTCGTGTTTGGCGAGATGCTGTAGCTCTTCCGCTGTTTGATTGTAGTGCAATACAACTGGAGCACTAAAATCACGCAGCAGAGACACCGCCTGTTACGAGGGATTGTTTGTTTAGGGTTTGTTTGCTTTTGAGGTTTGTTTGTTTTTTGGAATCGTTTGTTTTCAGGGATTATTTGTTTTTAGGGATCGTTTGTTTTTAGGGATTGTTTGTCTCTAGGGATTGTTCGTTTTCAGGGATTATTTGTTTTTAGGGATTGTTTGTTTTTAGGGATTGTTTGTTTTTAGGGATTGTTTGTTTTTAGGGATTGTTTGTTTTGAGGAATTGTTTGTTTTTAGGGATTGTTTTCTTGAAGGATTGCTTGTTTTTAGGGATTGTTTGCTTTTCAGGATCGTTTGTTTTCAGGGATTGCTTGTTTTGAGGGATTGTTTGTTTTTAGGGATTGTTTGTTTTTAGAGATTCTGTGTATCTAGAGATTTTAGGAGATTTGAGTATGTGTAGATGAATAGCCTTGCAAATAAGTACTCAAAAATGAGTAGCATACGCAGTTTGCACAAAGTTCGTGAACATATATAGCACTCACGGGTATCAATAGCACTGATAGTTTCAATAGCCATAGCAAATAAATATTAGCGCACACGCTATTGATCACTCGCATCTATGTATGGCACTTACAGCTGGCTTCTGGGGAACATTGTTGATCAGAAATTCGCCAGAAAATGCTTTAAACGGCAGTACAGCGGTAGTAGTTCCCTGGTCTACGGTCGTTGTTATGGTCTGTCCGGAATCTGATAAAATATATCATCGGATAGAGTACAAGTCGACAATTAAAAGAGTGAAACTTAATACTTAAAGTAAGTGATGTTCGCACAGATGGATCAGATAATGAACGAGTAAAAGTGAACACGAGATGCCAGTGTCTCAGAACCAGCGTGCTTAGAGATAAACGTTGACACGTTTGTGCATTCGGACCAATTGAGGTCATCAGTAGCAGTGTGAAGACATTGTGTCAGGAAATTTACCAGCACAAATGACAGATACTTCTACATATAGTATGCCCTTCATAGTTGTGTTGCGATGGTTTTTACTTTGCTGGCAGACCAAGCCCAGTCACACGCCAGCACAGTTACACTAAATACACACAGAAACATATGTGCTCTACAACTACACCATACCCTCCTGATAGCTGTAGCTGGTAAGAGGCAGATCGTTGCCGTTGTCATCCAGTAATCCGGTTGATACCGGTATGAATTGCGGGCCCATATGTTCAACCGGGTGCGCTTCTGGTGGGGTGGGTAAAACCTGTTGCAAACTGCGTGAGTGGTGTCGTGGAGTACAAACAAGCGGTTTAAATATCCTGTGGCATATTCCCACTTAACAGCTGCTTTGAGTTCTAGGGTTAGGCTTAACAGCTGCTTGGGTTTTAGGGATAGGCTTAACAGCTGCTTGGTTTCTAATGTATATCTTGCATCATCCACGGCAGACTGATAATTCGTCTGACGCAAACCAACGTCGCGTGGTGCACTGGTGTGTTTGTTCGGGTGCGCGGCAATTGACACTTTGACACTTGACACGTCATGTTTAGAGATTGATGCTTAACCGAGTTGTGTGATTGGCTGTAGACTAACAGCCAGCAACAACACCACCTTCCGACACTCCGAACCATCGCAACTTGCGGTGGCCGTTTGTCATGAGGTGACGAAGGTCTGTAAAAATGAAGCGGGGCAGGTAATTGCTACCAGTCTCCTATTCCCACAAAATGGATAAACATCGCCTCATCAATGTTTCAGACTGCTTGGGGCCGCTTAAACACACTTACAATCAGTTGATCATGTTCTCACAGAAGTGTGTCTACCACTGCGCATGGCAACGGGTTGTACCCAAGACTATTCCAGGGCGACTGATACCAACCGACCTAGCCCAGATGTACTCGAATATTGTCTTAACCATATTTTTCAAAAGATGTGTACCACAGTGCAATGCATTGGACTATGACTCACAGCAACTGACCTGAGCCTGAGCTGCTGCGTGTCCTTTAGATATTCCGATGACGCCTTAAGCACTGGTGTTCCCGCCTGTGTGTACCACCGCTCAAAGCCATCGAGAGGCACAGACGACACCTCAGACATCACAGCGAAGAAGTCGTCTGTCGTGCACGCCTGGATGGAGCAAGTGCATATGAATAATACAAGAACATATATGGACAGGTATGCGTGTGTGTGTGTTAGTTGTAGTAATATAAGAACATATATGAACATATGTGGCAGGTATACGTGTGTGTGTGCAGTTGTATTGTGTAGTGTGTGTATTGTGCGTGTGCGTGAATATGTGTTCCGTCGCTTTGTGGTTTATTTTGTGCTACGTGTATGACGCATGGTATTTGTGATGTCCATAAGCTGAATCAGAGATTCTCAAACATCTCTGCCAAAACTTATTCTGTCAGATAGACCTATTGCCCGTTACTCCCGTGATATGTACCCCTATACGCGTATGTGAGCATACGTGTATGCTTTGAGTGATACGAATTGATAGCAGTAGTATGGAGTAGCTAGAACGAATCAATCTACCCATCACCAAGATTAACTCAGAGCAATTGATGAGTTATCAAGTGTAGGAAACTGAGTTTCAGAAATATAATTTCTGATGACCGATATGGTGGAGAGGCAATACTGAAAACAGTTGGCACTACTGCCAGACTTACAAGCCCCGAAGGCGCCATGACACATAACCACCATCAGACTACCAAGAATCGTTTAAGTACGTTTATACCTGATCCACCAGGGCTTATATAAACTCGTTTATACCCGATCCACCAGGGCTTATATAAACTAAATAACAAGGACTGGCAGCCTCAAAGATACCCTTAATACATAAACATTTGATACAATTCTACACTGAAATGTAACCCCTGATACATTAAAATGTGATACAATTCTGAACTAAGTAACCCCTGACACAATGGAGTTCAAGACAGTACTAAATTAAAACGGTGACAACGCACCAACATTCTAGTTTAGAAGTTGAGGAATCGGTATCATCTCAATGCTTCCTATGTAGAATCAGTGTGTACGTAGGCGAAGGTACAGTGTTTCACACAATCATTTGGTTGTGAGCATGCCAGCACAATAGAGTAGAGCACAAGCACCATAAATTATACAACCGCCTGTGAACGAGATAAGGCACAACGGCGGTAATGCCACCCCAATTTAGAAACGAGAAACCTAGAATGAGTGGACAAATGTCTACATTCAAGTATACCGCCTCCTTGAATTGAGTGCGAAAGACCTGGCCAACACCCACCTCTCAGAAAACAAACATGCGATACATAAACTTGTGGGCTGTGTACCATTACAACCACCACAAAGCCCTAGACCCTAAGCCCTAGTCACCACTTGTAGTACAAGCTTTATCAGAAACAAATGACAAAATGATACGAAGACGAGGGCACAGGGCACAGGGCGCAGAAATAGTACCTGACCGTCGTGCCGTTCGAAGTAAAGATCGATCGCTTTGCGGAACTTCTCCTGTGAAGTGATGTCAGATACTGGTAGTTAGAATGAACATTGCTTGGGACATACCAACATGACTTCTGATGAAACCATCGGATTCTTTGACATGCATCACACCGCAGGGAGATAGATCTTAAGCTTCACAGAGTCACTGAGGTCCATTGCGCGCAGCTTTAAACATAAAACTACACCCTTCATGTACGACAAAGCGTCCATCGTCACCGATTGCGTACCTTCCCTAAGAGTGTGTAGTACATCCTTATCACCTCCGCGCCTTTCTCATAAATGGTGGCTGTGTAGAAATTGTCGATTTTCTCATATGAAATCGGCCGAACAGGATGACTCATTCCCGATTTATCCTCCGCGAACTGGCGGCTGCGTAGGTTCCGAACATCGTTGATACGCGCCACGGGACGGGAGTGGAGATCTGTGGGCAGAAATCAGAACATGAGTACGTACACGCAAGTCTTGTACAAGAATGGCTTGGAAGTAGCTAGGCACTGGTGGACAATGTGTGTGGATTGTTGGAGTATGTATTAACTATCGAAAGCTTCTGAAGAGGTTTCTTCATTGGCGAATTGGTGGTTACGCAAACTCCGACCAGCGATGCTGCCGGCCTGAATACACGTCCATAACGAGAGCGCATCCAAGTCCTTGCTAGATTGTATTTAGTTGCCTTGAATGATGTGTAGATGTAGAAACTAGTTCGGTCGCCCTGAAAAGAATTGGCGACAACGCATATCCCAACACCCGTTGGTGTGAGTCACGAAGCGCGAGTGCAGATCCACGAATATTGTTAACGATATATAAACAGTGCACCCCCACGCCTGCGTTGAGTGTCGTTCAGGTGTTTTTGCAGAGCAGTGCATCGTTGTGTGAGTTGTGTGTCGTGGTTTGGTCTGATCCATGCCGTTGCTACCTCGCAAATTAGTTGCTTCGCTAAAGTGCAAAGTTGAAATCGCAGACCTCGAAAGGCGTGTGCAGACCTTCATGTGAAATGAATGGCATGACACCCTCAAACATTGTCTAAAAGTGCACTTTAAGTCGGTAATCTACGGCTGCATCGTAACCTGTCATACCCGAAATATGACTCGAAGACTCGCTTGAATATAAAATTTGGTGACTGCGCAGATGCTGAACATCGTTGATTTGAACCACAAATTGTGAGTGAGTGTCTCATCATTCAAGACATCTGGGCAGGTGTTACCCTTTTATTGGTGTCTCATGTCATGTTTTCACATCCAAACTTGTTTTTTCGTTCTAGTCAAGCGCACAGGTTCCAAAGAACGTTCATACAGGCTTTTGGGCGTATTCTAGGCTGAGTGTGATTTTATCTACAACAAAACATATCCGAGCACATACTACCGTTCTCGTGTGTGTGCAGATTAAGTCTTCGGATGCGCGTGCACTCAACATGCACTAAGTATGGAATTTATAGTCAGAAAAAGGGATGGTAGGCAGATGTAACATTGGTTCGAGTTCATTGATGGTGACTAAGACACGCGTTTCTTGTGACACTCCAGATGTTAGCTCACACATACATATCACTCGTGCGTGCAGGTATGGTTTTGATGCGTTTCAGTTTGGCGTGTGTTGTAGACGACTGAATTCTCTTGTAATGAATCCTTAGGCTCGTGCACGTAGAGATGAAAATGGGAGCTATCACCACTTTTCACGAATTCTAGAAATGTTCACGCAAGTACATGTCTCTTCATATATGCTCGTTCTCTGTCTCAACGTCATATGTGCAAGCACATACTCGATAACAAGCATATAAGCATACACATATAAATTTGCATACGTACATACATACAATACCACATTCACACAAATACGTGTACGTATAGTTGTAACTAGACAGTACTAGCAAATAATGCGATTATGAGCGACCGTACAACTATATAGTTTCGTTCGCAAGCATACAAACACAATATCAACCAGACAAAAACACGCACATGCTGCATCTTCATATAAGGTACATGGACCTGTACATGTACATGTATATAAACACATATACACACGGACAGATACAAAAACAACTGAAATCATGTGGAAGTACACACCCATAGTGAATTCTTGATCCCGAAATACTGTCAACCCTTCCTTTAAACTCAGCTGAAACCAATCACGGCACGTGATGCGATTGCCCGTCCAATTACTGCATGAAGTCCAATCCATGCCCATTGATCAATTCCAATAAAATGAGAATGAATGTTGTTGTTTTTATCTGGCTTTGTTCGTAGTAATATGAGCCTCAACCAAAACTACAGATGTGCTTCGAGCAACAAAACACAACGCTTGACTTGGGGGAAAAAAAGGAAGAAAGTAAAACCTCAGCAATTCAGGGGGGGGGAACAGTGATCGAATAGTCCCAGAATGTGACTTACTGGAAATACTCGTGGCCCACGACACTTTCGATTTGTTCGTACGACAGATCGGTTGCGGTGTCTGAGGAGTGTGAGAGTGGGGTTGGTAGCGTAAATACTATATTCGAGCATTGGACCAATCGATGCATGAAACCCAACAAGTTTGTGTGCGTTGTGCTACAAATATACGCAAGTGTTCCGGAGACGAATTGGGCCCAGATCAATAAAAGTGCGAGTTTTCCACTTCTGTATAACCTTATTGCAGAGAACTCTCACACACAATTGTCCGATCAGAGTCAGCAAGCGGCGTTATAGGTTTTCAAGTTTCGTCACTAGATTGTTCATGCGAACATTCGTTCAAAAAATAAATGTACCTATTCGGTCCAAATCAGTCTCGGACTATCTCTCGGATTTCAGTCCGCCTGAAATACATTTCAAATGTTATGCAATTTGCGCTACAATAATAACTTCCGGCAATAAGAAGAACAAGTACAATTGAACACGAAGCTATTTATATATTTGCGCATGTATCAGATTGTACTGCTTTACCTGGGGAAGCGAGCACTAGCCGGGAATTGAAGACATTGAGAGACTTATTCTCCATCGCACCCATATTGAAGTCATCCACGGCCACAATATTGAACAAATCGAGATCGTATTCCAAGCCAAACCGATCTTCGTCCCTGCAAAATTAGATGCAAGACGTTATGTTTGGGATAAGGAATCATATTCATCAATTATGTCCGGGAGATACATATGAAACATGGCACTTTAAGAATAAACAACAATCTTGTGCCAGATAGCAAACGGGATATCAATATTACATGATGCATTGGAGTCGTAGGAAGGCCATTGCGTATCAGAAGTGTGCATTTGATTGGATGAGAGAATTTTTCTTAAGTATGACTTATTGAGTGCGTCGCTCGCTAATCTGTTTCGCGGTTGTAGGCTGTACACTCAACGGATGTTATACATATGCAAACGTATGCTCATCACATATGGGTTTGCCGCATCATTTATTTCCGTGCAAATATAATCCCACAACCAAAACCCATCGAAAAGGAGGACACAATACTCACCATTTCATTGCGCGTTGGAGACTGTACATTGCATGGGCTGTGAGATGGGCGTTATGTGGGTCTGTCCAGATGACCAAATCAACATTTTTTCCCTAATCAAAATATGGAAATAAACTAAATACTTGAATAAACATGTTCATCTGTAAACGGTGACCAAATTTAAAAAAAAGGATTAGAATAAATGCCCGATCCTTCAATAATCTAATTTTCATGACCCTCTGACGCAAGTGGATCATAGAATTAATATTAGTCAAAGAGGGGCAAGAAAACTAAATTCTCTTCCCGTCATCCAGAAGGTCATGCCATGTACTTGTAAATTATGCCTTCCCAATAACTAGTAAATTCTTCGTAGTTCCCCTATCCTAATATTGCCCCAAATTCCGAAACGACCCTCTCTACACTTGTCAATGGACATTTGTTTTCGATGGCGAGAACCGCTGTGACATCAAAATCACGATTCGTTCGTTTAAATACCGATTGACGTACTGTGTATTTACAAATACTACAACTACCCACAGGCAAATAATGAAATCATCCTCATCGTTGTGCTCCTTTGCTCAGGGACAAATTGCAGTGTACCACATGCAACGATATAAAGTCGAGGCGCAGATGGGGTACAACCAAACAAGCCATAGTCAAAGCCAAATCCACAGCCACAGCCACAGCCACAGCCACAGCCACAGATACAGTCACAGCCATAGCCACAGACACAGATACAGACACAGTCACAGCCATAGCCACAGACACAGATACAGACACAGATACAGACACAGCCACGTTAAAGAACAAGGCAGAGCACACAAATCAAAACACCACAGAACAACCGCACAATACATCCCATTCTGCACTAGGTTACAATAGAACACCACATGACACACCACCACGCACACTATCACATTCTACACTAGATTACAATAGAACACCACATGACACACCACCACACACACTATCACATTCTACATTAGGTTACAATACATGGCACACCACCACACATACTATCACATTCTACACTAGGTTACAGTACAACACCACATGCCACACCACCACACGCACTATCGCTACTGAGCCGAGTACACGCTGGACGTAAGTAGTGACAGGTAAAGATTGAACACAAGCTAAGTTGATATATACATAATTCACTAATATATTCGGGTCCACCAAGTGTCACATCGCATACCTACCGATTGCGTGCAAAAAGTGTCCCTTGTAGCCGTGAGATTGCCTGCAACGAGAGCGAACAGGTAAGATGGCTTGGGCCAGGGATCGTGCCACGTCGCCGAATGCATCGAACTGTCCTTCGACGAAACCTTCTGCGATACATTAACGGATATGACGCCGTGTTTTCGTACTTTGTATGAATGCGGTGTCTGAGAGTATATATTTATATATATGTATATTTATACGTGTGTGTGTGTGTGTGTGTGTGTGTGTGTGTGTGTGTGTGTGTGTGTGTGTGTGTGTGTGT